AGAGCGAGGACAATATCTAAATTATTCATTTATTGTAATTACTCAATTCTTCTCAATGATCTATTGTATTGGTAGCCGTTGCCGTCGTGGTTGCTGTCCTAAAATCGTAAGGTCTCTATTAAAACGCAAGGAAGACGGTCGTTTGTATTTCCGGTTGAAGCTCTCACTAAAAATTTAAATATTCTGAAATACCGAAATAAAAGATGCAAATATGTAGATACAAGCCTGAAATTCTGAATGGATTCTGATTCGAACAAGACTATTACGAAAAAGATATGTTGAAAGGAACCAAAGTTCTGTTCGGCGAAAGGTTATGCACTTATATGCCTCAGTTGGTAATACATTGACATTGTTTACATTGTTCGGTCTCTGTAAAGAACGGAAACCCAAACGACCGAATCTGGAAACGACCAAAACCGGAAACGACCGAAACAGGAAATTCCAGCCTAATTTCCTGCATAAAATTGCCTAAAATTGAAAGCGCGCTCAATTCAATGAGCTGGCCAACCTCGTTCCCAGGGCCTTTTTTGAAAATGCGGCAAGGGAAAAGGCCCTGGCACCGGCTGGTCTTTTATGTCTTCTGATTGGTCAATGACAATATATTATTATGCAATCTTGGATTAATTTGTACACACTTTGGGATAAATTAACATTTTCATGCAAGGAGTGTCCATTATTTCCTTTGTCTGTAAGAAATATTTTGTGCATATTATCTGTGGCAAAGAGGTTAAATTCGATAAGATTTATACATGATTTGTCAAAGGTTAGTATTATTGTTTATTTTAAATTGTGAAAGAACATGAATTGTGTACTACAACACACCTCTGACCGATTATTTAGGGCAAAATGTGCCTTCATTTAATGGCTTTGTATAGCGTTTTATATATAATTTGAGGTGCATGTACAAATACTTTCTTGTATAAGTCTGGGTTTATAAAATTATGACCTTTAGTTTTAGATATTCTTCATATTTAAATTAGTCGAGTTTAAATTGGCCTAATTTATAGTTACCATTAGAAATGCATGCGACGATATTTTGTTATATGCAACACTGTTTACAACTTTTGAATATTTTAAATTAATAATATGATTTGATTTTGTTTCAGAGACTAAAATACATTCAGAAATTGTGCAGCGTGTGGCTTCATTTTTACCATGAATTGTGTTACACAAGTGATTTTTTGCTCATTTTGCTGATGTTACAGTTTTCTGATGTGTTCTGTTCTGATGGCATTAGAACAATTTCAATATGAAAGTGCAGGTGTCTTTAGACATCAGCCATATAATGTATATATCAAAGTACAGATACAATCTGTTTCCAGCTTGATTGTGTTGGTGCACACAAAGATGTGTAATAATGGGCTTATGTGCATGTGTGCATGCATGCATGTACTTTGATGCCTCAAGAGATGCTTCAAATGTGTAATAAAAGGCTGTTCACAGGAATTGGGCTGGCTGGCCAAGCCAACCTGGTCTTGAATGCTACTTCTGAAAATCAGGTTACAATGCATGCTTGAAAATATGCAACAATTTCACTTTACTGTTAATAATATTCCAGAAAATCCTTCCTCTCGGACATGTCTATACGATTAGTTAGAATAGACGGCCGGCCAAGTCATCAATTTGTACAACTGGATGGCAACTTTATGTTAGAAGCTGGTAACAGGCATTTTCTTATAGTTCAAGCCTTGGTGAACAAGACTATATGTGTTACCACTTCTGATTTTTGCTTTATAGCCAAAAATTTGAGAATTATAAAATTTTGCCTATTAAATTACTATGATCGGAAAAAATGTAAAATTTCATATTCTCTTATATGAAAAATAAACTATACCACTAGAAAGAGCGTAAAAAACTATACATAAGACAATTAAGTGAGTTCTATGTTTTTCCAATCCTATTTCGAGTTTTTAATGTTAAAAAATGCAGAAATGACCAAATAATGCTAATTAGTACCCTTTTTGCCAACTTTAACCAATCTTTAATTCAAAATCGGCTTGAAAATCGCACTAGTCGCTTAATTATCTTATATACGGTTTTTTGCGCTCTTTCTAGTGGTATAGTCTATTTTTGTGTAAGAGAACATGAAATTTTACATTTTTTGCCATCATAGTAATTTAATAGGCAAAATTTTAAAATTCTCAATTTTTTGGCTGTAAAGCAAAAAGCAGAAGTGGTAACACACACAGTCTTATTCACCAAGGCTTGAACTATAAGAAAATGCCTGTTAACAGCTTCTAACATAAAGTTGCCATCAAACTCTCTTTAGAGGCACTTTTTGTCACCTTGGCCGGCTGACTAGAAGGGGTGGAGGTTTTGCAGAGGGTGGCGCATTACTACATGGGTCGGGGGGGAGGGGGCATTCTCCCCGAAAATCAATCATTTCAATATAATAAGTATTATTCATAATTCAAATATGGAATACCAGAGTTTTCTTCAAGGGGATGCTGGACACCACTAGGCAGTGCACACAACACCCCTGCACTACACCTGTACATCCCCCTTGTTTCCTGTCATTGTCAGCTTGCATGCTTTGTTTTGAGACAAATGACATCTGTAATCGGGTGCTGGGTCAGAGTCAAACTCATGCGAACAGCTTCTAAGTCCTAATTATATTGATAATTATGTACACTTTTGGTTTGTAATGCACAGCAATTTGTAAAATATTTCACATTTTATTTAATTAAAAGTAATTATATACATTGTTTTGTTGTTTATATTAACACCTTGTACTTGGACAGTGTACCCATTGGGTTGTTTCAGAAAAGACCCACACTCCCCAAGCAGGCTTTACTGGGTATACATACTATTAGAAGCACAATTTGCACATGGTAATTTGCCAGTCATGATTTTAAACTTAATATTTCTTATCTCATATAGAATTCTCAAGGTCTTTGCTTACATTTTACTGGAAGCAAACTAAGATGCATGTCCAATAATCATTGGATTATATCACTCATATGTCAGCTTTGCGCTTCAACAACATTTGGCTGCGAAGAAAACGTAAACAAGGAAGGAGCATACAGCACTTCATCTGTATTTGAAATATCAATGAGTAAATATTCCAACCATTGGCAGTTATCAGTGACTTTGACCAATAACATCATATACATCCAAAAATATTTCTTTGAATCACTGTATATTCTTCATAAACACGCTCCAATCGTCGCACGGCAGAGTCTTCGGAAGGGTAAACACCAGGTTTATTTAACCTATCCAGTTCAAAACACTTTCCGTGTCCTCTTAGGCAAGCCTGTCCAGCTGGAGAACATCTGTCGTGATACTAAATCTATTTTTCTAATATTTCAGCGGTTAATTCTGTTTAGCGAAAGAACGAAGTTGGAAGAATGGCAACTACATAGTTCCCATGTAATAAAAGCTGAAGAATTTGATTTTGAATACGTTTGTAGCAAAAAGAAGGAAAAATTTCCAAGAATAAATGCATTTTTAAGCCGCTCTGAACACTTGCAGTTTGTGGGCACTCTTACATTGGCGGCCATCTTGGATTTTCATTTCGCATATTTAATTTTGTCGTTACAGTCTATTTCAGCTGACTTTTTATTGTAAGATTCCGAACTTCGTTCCGAACTTTCGTTGCCAAGCAAATTCGTTGCCAAGTTCATAATGAAATTCACAAACAGGTTTGTAAACTGGGCATTTGATTGGCTGGTTTGATTTAATAGCCAATCAGAGGCTTTGTTTACAAACCTGTTTGTGAATTTCATTATGAACTTTTGAACTTGGCAAAAATTTGTGAAGTTCGGAACTGAAATTGACTGTAATTTATTTAACACCACGATTCGTGGTGTTAGAAGCCAGCCAGGGCGTTTTCCCTTGCCGCTTTTTCAAAAAAGGCCCTGGGAATGAGGTTGTGAGCTGGCTCAATTGCTTTGTGACCTTGTTGAATTTGCAAAATGGACGAAAATGGGAGCGATGTTGAGGTAAATTTCATTCCTTTACTGGTTTGTGCATTAGATCTTAGTATGTTAGTCAATAATTCTATTCAATTGTATTCATTTGCAATTGTCTGACTTTTTATTTTTGCTGACGCAGCGAGCGAGCCTGAAGCGAGCGAGCCTGAAGCGAGCAAGCAAGTCAGCCATTCTAATTCATATTGGGCTCTGAAAGTAAGATTTTACTTACGTTTCTCCGACCAGAATGCACTGCTGTTAACCGACCAGAATGCTTTGCATGCATGATGCTATAAATATGGGGAATCTCATTAGTCAGTTTAGATAAGTCGGTGACGATGCAGTTCTTTTGGTGTATTTTGTATTCATTGTATGGTCTGTTGATTTCTGGCTGGTCTTACACTATGTATATTGAATTTGTTTATTACAAACAATTTATATCTTCGAATTTATGCGTTTGTGCTCTTCGCCTTATTTTGTTTTGTCTTTTATTATTTCATTTAGCACTTAGCACTAAAATCAACATTGTATTTGCATGTCTGAAAGTGTTTATTTCGAGCATTAAAAGCGAATCAATTTCATCTCAATTGTTGTCCATCAGTTCCACTTTGCTATCAATTAAACAGGGTTTAGTTTGCAGACCTTTTGTTTGACTATGATTTGATTATAAGGTAAATGACACACAGAGACAATCACATGGCATCAACAGTCTGTGAGTCCGGCAACTGCCAACTATGTTTATATTATAGCATGGCGTTTTAAAAGAATGATGCTTTACGTGCTATTTCATGTGGTTAATTAAATATACTTTGCCTGCTAAAAAGCACACTGCTATACTGTATACACAACATAATTTAATTTATGCATATGCGTTGTTTAAGCATGCAACGCAACCAGGAGCAAACTTAAATTTATACTAAGTCTAAGGTAATTATTAATAAGTGAAAGTTTTGTTCAACATAAGCAAAAATGGCGATGTTTTAAGTCAAAGTTTAGCTTTAGTTAAAAACCACACTTTCTCGTGGTTTTACTGCCATTCGGCGATTCGCAAGTTTCTCTGTCCAACGTCACGCATTAAACTCAATGCGTTCAGTCACTGTCGGATTCTGAAAGTGAAAATTCTTCGTCTGAGAAAGATGCGTTGCTGTCAGTATCACTGTCATCATCAACAACCAAAGGGTCAGCCAACTCTTGTGGTTTATCACTGGCAATTTCCTCGTCAAGTTTCTGTCTTTTCGCTGGTTGACCAACTTTCTTTCGCCTGTTGTTTGTTTTAAGGTAGATCTGTACTGCGCGGTCAATGATTTCTTCTTTTTCCTTGACACTCCACAAGCTGTCATTGCCGTAAACAATCAGAGAGTCGTCGAGTGTAGAATGGCGCATCGACAAACGCTTGTCCGACAGAATGTTCGTAAGAACGCTGAACGTACGCTCGACTGTGGAGTTGGAACCAGAAATGCAAATTGCAAGGCTCGCGAGTTTGCAAAGATTAGGAAATTCTTCGCGACGAATGGAAAGCACTGACTTCCATAAACACTTCGGGTCAGGCAATTTAGGGTAGTGGCTCCTGACGTATATTTTGAAACTACGCCACTCTTTTAAAGCAGATGCCAAGTTGAAAGATGCGTGCTCCAATGGTTTGGCGAAATGAGCTGCCATCGCGGTGATGTCTTCGATCCCGTACTCCCTTTCACTGCACCACAGTTCTGGGTTTAACCATCTCGTCTTCGAATAGATTGCGTCATCATAGTTTGCGAAACGTGCTTTCAACGTCTGGACCAGGACGGGGATGACTTTCGACTTAATTTGGCGAACTTTCTGTCCAGGTCAAATTCAACAGAGGTGTATTCTCGGTTATGCCGTTTCTTTCGTTTATCCCCTGCCTTGGTAAATTCTCCTTTGGCACGACCATTCTCTTCAATTACAAACCGCGCAACATAGCTATCTAAGAACTCTTCCTCCGTCCTGATTTAGTCTTGCTTCTCGTTAAGTTGCATAACAGCTCTTGAAACAGCCACAGGCACTTTGTATGGCATAAGACTTTCCGCTTCAAACACAAGGGAAGTGGGGGCGATCTGTTCAAGCAGATCGAGATACACATCAAGAATGCAGAGGAAGGAATAGGACTTGAACTTTTTCAGGAGACCACTTATCTTGGCACGCGTAGTTGGGGTAAACTCCCTGGTGTTTGCCACAGCATCCTCATAAGTGGTTGTATATACCGGCCACGTCTCGAGCAAGTTCTTAAACCCTCTGCGTTGATGATTCACAAAGCTCGTAGTAGTGGATTCCCAGGGATGCAGCACACTCCTTCAGTAGACTTTTCAACTTTCCAGAGTTTTTCAGCAAGTAATAGTTCGTCTTGTAGAACTCTTCAACAGCTGCTAATTCGGGAATGTCGAAGGCCGATTTTACTGCCAATTCTATCCTGTGGTTTGCACAATGTATGGTTAAAAGCCATGGACGGTTTCGCTTGAGTTGGGTAAGCACGCCATTGTACTTGCCGGTATTCACACTTGCGCCGTCAGCTGTAGAGCTTACCAACTTCCCTTCGTAATCTTCTGGGGACATTCGATAAGGACCAAGCCAACTCTTGTGGTTTATCACCGGCAATTTCCTCGTCAAGTTTCTGTCTTTTCGCTGGTTGACCAACTTTCTTTCGCCTGTTGTTTGTTTTAAGGTAGATCTGTACTGCGCGGTCAATGATTTCTTCTTTTTCCTTGACACTCCACAAGCTGTCATTGCCGTAAACAATCAGAGAGTCGTCGAGTGTAGAATGGCGCATCGACAAACGCTTGTCCGACAGAATGTTCGTAAGAACGCTGAACGTACGCTCGACTGTGGAGTTGGAACCAGAAATGCAAATTGCAAGGCTCGCGAGTTTGCAAAGATTAGGAAATTCTTCGCGACGAATGGAAAGCACTGACTTCCATAAACACTTCGGGTCAGGCAATTTAGGGTAGTGGCTCCTGACGTATATTTTGAAACTACGCCACTCTTTTAAAGCAGATGCCAAGTTGAAAGATGCGTGCTCCAATGGTTTGGCGAAATGAGCTGCCATCGCGGTGATGTCTTCGATCCCGTACTCCCTTTCACTGCACCACAGTTCTGGGTTTAACCATCTCGTCTTCGAATAGATTGCGTCATCATAGTTTGCGAAACGTGCTTTCAACGTCTGGACCAGGACGGGGATGACTTTCGACTTAATTTGGCGAACTTTCTGTCCAGGTCAAATTCAACAGAGGTGTATTCTCGGTTATGCCGTTTCTTTCGTTTATCCCCTGCCTTGGTAAATTCTCCTTTGGCACGACCATTCTCTTCAATTACAAACCGCGCAACATAGCTATCTAAGAACTCTTCCTCCGTCCTGATTTAGTCTTGCTTCTCGTTAAGTTGCATAACAGCTCTTGAAACAGCCACAGGCACTTTGTATGGCATAAGACTTTCCGCTTCAAACACAAGGGAAGTGGGGGCGATCTGTTCAAGCAGATCGAGATACACATCAAGAATGCAGAGGAAGGAATAGGACTTGAACTTTTTCAGGAGACCACTTATCTTGGCACGCGTAGTTGGGGTAAACTCCCTGGTGTTTGCCACAGCATCCTCATAAGTGGTTGTATATACCGGCCACGTCTCGAGCAAGTTCTTAAACCCTCTGCGTTGATGATTCACAAAGCTCGTAGTAGTGGATTCCCAGGGATGCAGCACACTCCTTCAGTAGACTTTTCAACTTTCCAGAGTTTTTCAGCAAGTAATAGTTCGTCTTGTAGAACTCTTCAACAGCTGCTAATTCGGGAATGTCGAAGGCCGATTTTACTGCCAATTCTATCCTGTGGTTTGCACAATGTATGGTTAAAAGCCATGGACGGTTTCGCTTGAGTTGGGTAAGCACGCCATTGTACTTGCCGGTATTCACACTTGCGCCGTCAGCTGTAGAGCTTACCAACTTCCCTTCGTAATCTTCTGGGGACATTCGATAAGGACCAAGCCAACTCTTGTGGTTTATCACCGGCAATTTCCTCGTCAAGTTTCTGTCTTTTCGCTGGTTGACCAACTTTCTTTCGCCTGTTGTTTGTTTTAAGGTAGATCTGTACTGCGCGGTCAATGATTTCTTCTTTTTCCTTGACACTCCACAAGCTGTCATTGCCGTAAACAATCAGAGAGTCGTCGAGTGTAGAATGGCGCATCGACAAACGCTTGTCCGACAGAATGTTCGTAAGAACGCTGAACGTACGCTCGACTGTGGAGTTGGAACCAGAAATGCAAATTGCAAGGCTCGCGAGTTTGCAAAGATTAGGAAATTCTTCGCGACGAATGGAAAGCACTGACTTCCATAAACACTTCGGGTCAGGCAATTTAGGGTAGTGGCTCCTGACGTATATTTTGAAACTACGCCACTCTTTTAAAGCAGATGCCAAGTTGAAAGATGCGTGCTCCAATGGTTTGGCGAAATGAGCTGCCATCGCGGTGATGTCTTCGATCCCGTACTCCCTTTCACTGCACCACAGTTCTGGGTTTAACCATCTCGTCTTCGAATAGATCGCGTCATCGTAGTTTGCGAAACGTGCTTTCAACGTCTGGACCAGGACGGGGATGACTTTCGACATAATTTGGCGAACTTTCTGTAGACATCTTTCTCTGTCAAAGTCGTCCAGGTCAAATTCAACAGAGGAGTATTCTCGGTTATGCTGTTTCTTTCGTTTATCCCCTGCCTTGGTAAATTCTCCTTTGGCACGACCATTCTCTTCAATTACAAACCGCACGACATAGCTATCTAAGAACTCGTCCTCCGTCCCGATTTCGTCTTGCTTCTCGTTAAGTTGCATAACAGCTCTTGAAACAGCCACAGGCACTTCGTATGGCATAAGACTTTCCGCTTCAAACACAAGGGAAGTGGGGGCGATCTGTTCAAGCAGATCGAGATACACATCAAGAATGCAGAGGAAGGAATAGGACTTGAACTTTTTCAGGAGACCACTTATCTTGGCACGCGTAGTTGGGGTAAACTCCCTGGTGTTTGCCACAGCATCCTCATAAGTGGTTGTATATACCGGCCACGTCTCGAGCAAGTTCTTAAACCCTCTGCGTTGATGATTCACAAAGCTCGTAGTAGTGGATTCCCAGGGATGCAGCACACTCCTTCAGTAGACTTTTCAACTTTCCAGAGTTTTTCAGCAAGTAATAGTTCGTCTTGTAGAACTCTTCAACAGCTGCTAATTCGGGAATGTCGAAGGCCGATTTTACTGCCAATTCTATCCTGTGGTTTGCACAATGTATGGTTAAAAGCCATGGACGGTTTCGCTTGAGTTGGGTAAGCACGCCATTGTACTTGCCGGTATTCACACTTGCGCCGTCAGCTGTAGAGCTTACCAACTTCCCTTCGTAATCTTCTGGGGACATTCGATAAGGACCAGACTCGTTAAACAAACTGTTGATCCCTTTCACGATTGCGTTTGCATTCCCACCGCCGAATTTCTCCATCTCGAGTAAACTCGCTACAATGTAGACAGGTATACCATTTCTTTCCGTTCGAATCAAAACGAGTTCTTTCTCAGCTTTCGTCTTTCGAGCTTGGGTCCCGTCACTTAAAATTGAAAAAAAGTCGACACTGCCCAGGATTAAAGCAGATTTTTCTCGAACAGCCTCTGCGATGCACAAATTCACGACCGCTTCTTCCATCTTCCTTTCGTTCGATCAAACGAACACCGTTCGCTTTCACACACTTTACAAGAACACCGAAGTGACGATGCGCCATTGTTGGTTCCATAGCCATCTCATAAGCGCATTTCATTAGTTTCCGATAAGCTTCTTCCGTGTATTTGTTTACGCATCCTGTGATTGATGGTTGTACCTGTACCTGCACAAAACATTTATAGTTTAGCTATCTGCCCAGAAAGATATTAACGCCAAATTTTAAGCAACACCCGGGCACATGCATGATCTGATTTGTGCTTGTTTCATAAATCTTAAATTACAATAAATCCTGTAATTCTTTTTCTGTAACAAAATGGTTTGATACATTTTCTTGAATGACAGATTCGTCTATTTGAAATATATAAAGTGTGAATGTTGCTGTTTAAAAACTAGTCAAAGCTTGACAACACGATAGTTTGAATAATTTCGACCGCAAAATTCCACACCGATGACTCATACACGTGGGCATTAAGGCGCTAACACGCTTAGTTTCGAAATGGAAGAATCTCAAACAAGCTCAAGCACTAAACAGGCTACTATTTACGATTTAGACTGACACAATCTATAATCTACAAGTTAACAAAATCTACAGCACACTATCATACATTTATGAACAATATAACTTACCTTCGCAGATGTGCTCGTAGATGTAGATTCCATCAATACATTTATTCTATCCGCAGTCTGTTTTGCGCGCTCAATTTGCAGGGCAATGCGGTGACCCTCTCCTTCCACATGTCGGTGCACATTATGTTTGCTAACATAATTTGTCCCTTCGATGTATGCCAAGACAGACTTCTTGACGGGTCCTTTGCAGTTTGGGTGAACAAAAATGGCATTCTTGTTACGCTCGCAAATTTTGCACCACGCAAATTGACAAACACGCGATTATCGACATTTTCAGTCTTATAACCGATTACTGATTCTTTTCCCCAACTCAAAAAGGTAGAAAGTTCTACTTTGCTACCTTTACCTTTGCTTGCCATTTAAAATATTCTCTTAACTGTGATTAAAACGCAGCATTCGCTAAATGGCTAAACGTCCGATCACACAAGGAGAAATTTGATAGCACCTCGCCCAGTTTGTAACACCTCAAAGTGCGTGTAATTTGCATAGAGTGATAAGGTTTTATTGTTTTCAATTGGTTTAGAAATTTAATTGCTTAAAGACTATTTCCTCGCTTCGCGGAGGAACTCAAAACAAATAAGACAAAAATTTAACAACATTAGCGTCGCTCCAATATCTGATATTTGCGTGCGCGATCAATCGCTCGCCCAGTCGAGCCTGGTCTATCATGATGGTGGATGGTGCCATAGCCTGCTTCCACTACCCATATTCCATTAAAATGGCAGGTAATCGTCCTATATCATTCTTTGTATTGAAAGCATCAATAGCATTCAGCTAGACCGAATCAATTTCATACTGCATACCCTTGCAAATGTTATTAGTTAATCTTTAGCTGATGTTTTATCGATGGAGAAGCAATCCAGTCCCTGCTACGAAAGACAACAGTGCCTCTGAGTTGGGATGATCCACCATATCCCTCCAGTGTGAAGACCGTTGTTGCTGGATGTTTTTAATCAAAGGGAAAACGTACCAAAGGGAGAGGAAAAGAAGTACCCAGAACTAATGTTGTGCTGGAAGACGATTTAAATGCCACATCACAACATCCAGCTTGTTTTTTTTTGTACATGCTATTTGTAATTAACATTATTTTCACACTGTTTATATTTATACAGATCATTTGAGAGAATCGTACCAATTGTGTACAAAGAGCCTGAGTCCCCCGCAGATGCTGCCGAATACAGGTTAAAGAAGGAACATGTGTTTAGCATTTCAAGCACTTCCTGCTTGCCATGGATCATAAAACATGGTGCCAAAAGTTGATTTCTTTAAGAATAGGTGCCCCACTATGTTGCCAAGAATACACAAGCTGTATGGCCTCTATAAAGCAATAGTACATGAGGTATGATTTGTTTACTTCTTGAAAATGCCTGGGCTTAGGTGCTGTTGACAACATTACCAAAAGCGCGGATCCTTCGTCTTGCATGAAAAAACGTGTTGTGTTTTCGCGTCAAAACATTCAGGAATGCGACTACATTTCTACGCCATTTTCTGCTGAGTTGCCAAACCACATGAGCCTATCCCGGGTCTTATTGGAGTTATGTATTAGAATTAATACATATGAAATATGTAGCTCAGTGTTGAAGCCTGCGATTTTCGGGCTCGCTGCGAAGTTAAATAATTTGAACAATATTTTCTGATCGCGCCAGTAGGTATAAATGGTTCGTTGAAAATATGACATGACTAAAGTTTAATTACCCAAAAACGTTTCACATACTTGAAGGCTGTTTTCCACTAGGCGAAATTTTTTCGATCAAACCGAAATTTCTATTGTTCAAATTCAAAATAATCCCGGCAAGCGGGATGAACTTTTCTCATATAAACACAAGAGAAATTCATCCGCTTTGAGCAGTTTTTTATAAAATACAATCAAGAATTATGTCGAAATTGAATGTTGTACACAATGGTGTATACAGGGGGTTGACAATTGCTAGCAAAACCATTCTCATGAAAAGTCTAAATCCGTGCAGAAGTGGGGAGACAGGGGACGTTTTGTATTTTATGTATACGTTTGTATATTACAATCATGAAAGATAACGGGTTTTAGGCGTTATATACTCTTTGGAATTCTGCAAAATCTCACCCCGACAATGCAGAAAATCGCATTCCCCTAGAGTATATGTACATGTTGTGGCTTCGCTGTTCGATACTTGCCTCTCTAAAAATAAGAGACCCTTTCTACGCCACTGGTTGTACATATTTAATACATTTTCACCAATCTGGTATCTCTACCCTTCTGAATTTAGCTTTCTTTAACAATACTTGTTTAGTTTATTAATAGTATGAAAATTTCACCTACATCTTCTACTCACTCTTGAAATGACCAAAACTTTTTGCCACATGCACAATGGGACAGCCCAACCCGCGAACAGACATTACTCTGCGTACGAGATTGCCACATGCAATAGCGGAAGAACTTATTTCGCTGACCTCATGCATGCAGAGTGACATTTCGTCAAAACTTTTTTTCGTCAAAACTTGGAGTTGGGATCATGATTACGGTTAGTTTTTGGGATTATGGTTAGTTTTTGGGATTATGGTTAGTGTTAGTAAAACCGTTTCTTTGTTACGTTTTGTCACTCTGAGGTCAGCGAAATAACCTCTTCCATGCATAGCTTTGTTCTTTTTTTCTTGAATACTGGTGATACTTCAACGTTTCTTGAATACTGGTGATACTTCAAATTATAAAGAGTGTATACATGTTTTGCATGCACACATTTTCTATGTTCGCGTTTTCTATGTACGTTGCACACGTTTTCAAGGTAGCCCATTTGTCTGACGAACAATTCTTTTTTTTAGGATCTGGAAAAATGCATTAAACACAACGTTAGAACATGCTTAGATGGGTCAGGGCAATGCATATGATATTGCCTGATGTCTTAGCGTTGTTGAAAAAGCAGGTTGATCAATCGTTCTACCTCTATAACTTACGAAAATCGATCAGCGGGAAAGACGGAGCATCAATTGACCATTCAGGTGTCTTTGACGGTGCACAGCGTAAATGTGTGAAGATACCCAGAAGACATGTTGACATCAATGTGGTTAAACTCATCGACAAAGGAAAAAACCCATACAAGGTTAACCGATACATGGTTTATATTACAGTGATATGCATATGCATAAAAAATATGCATATAAATGCATGTATTCGATTTCTTCTTTCCTTCGTTTAAATGCGTCAAGCTTTTGTTTTCACAGAATCAGAAATAACGAGTTAATCCGAATTGATAATTTTAGATAATGGATTAATGGACAAAATGAATCCAACTTTATTATATTATTTGACGCTTTCAGCATTTGGTGATGAAACACCAGAGTCAGATGAGGAGGTTGAAGTGCTCGACAGACAAGAAAAAAATGACGAGACATTGGAGCTGCTGCAAAGTCAAGTAGCTACAGAAATTGAACACAACAATATTTTGCGAACAGAAAAGCGACATTTGGAGGAAACCTTGCAGTCTGAATCAGTTAAACGTGCCAAAATGGAAGAGAGAGTTGCTTTGTTGGAACAGGAACTGGCAAAGAAAGAAAGAGTGTGGAAGGTGACAGAATCGGAATTGCAATTTTAATTAATCACTTAATCATACTAATAAAATAACATTTTTCAGTGGATAATGTAATAGTTAAGCTTGTGAAACAGTTCTTTTACCAGAATGTCATCTTTCAGCTAGCAACCGTTCCTATTTTACAATGTTCCACTGTATAATATAATCAACACTATTTTTATATTATGGAATTATAGCACACAAGTCATGTAAGTGATGAATGCTGTGCATATTTTGTTCCATTTGCTTATATTGTTTGTGAAGGTTTATTTGTGGTATTGCAATTCTGCAGTAAAGTATTTTATATTTCCAATGTTCATAGGACTGCTGCAGTATTTCTCAGTATATACTTAGCAATCAATATATATTTAAATTACAGTATTTTAAACATTTTTAACTTGAAAAAACATATAGTCCAGCATGAACTTCTAAACTGTCAAAATTTTTCATCTTTGGCCGCTGTTCATTAAGATTCTATGTTTCGGCAATCAGTTCATTATCTAATCTCTGATAATAGATACAGTTCTTAAGATGTCATGCATATTCTGGTGATGTTCTACAGTATATAATTATGCAACATCATTGCTCTAATTAATTATAAATTAATCCGTATATCAGCACATATGGAATTTTAAACATTAATTGTTAAATACATGTAAATTAAAAATCACAGTCTGGCATGAACTTCTAAGCTGTTAAGATTGTTCATCTTTGGGCAGCTGATTGTTAAGATCTATATATTTGGCAATCAGTTCATTAGCTATTCTGTGCTAAATACAGTTCAGTATATATAACTAACAAAACACAGTCTGGTGTGGACTTCTAAGCTGTTAAGTGTAACTAGTTGCACTTTGGCTTCCAAGTGTAACTAGTTACACTTTGGCGTCTGTAACTTGCATCGGTAACTAGTTATGTTTTTGGCAATGTAACTATAACTGTAACTATAACTGTAACTGTTACAGCACTGATCAGCATAAAAGAAAGGTGAAACTTGAATTTATAGGTGGTGTTTACAATAGAGTAAAGCTAATAACCAAGACCCTTTAAATGGCAGTGCACCCAGATGCGCCCTACTTTATTATTCTACTCTGTCTAATGCCAGACGATTTTACTCATCAGGGAGACTGTTCACGATGGTCAGAATGCGCAAATTTTCTCCCACTTGTGCGGGCTCATTTTGTCAGTGGAGTTTCATGGTATACTTGAAAAATACCGTGTCATATTTCGTCGCTTCCCATGTAAATAGCAAATTCATGAATAACACTTGAATAAACAGAAATATGTGAATTTGCACGCTAGTCTTTTGAATATAACGATTGTAAAATGTTTCCGTGTGATCTATTAGCAATGTAAAAAATACCTAAACTGTAACACTGCCATATATTTAATCTCGCGTTTGTTATTTGCGCAACAGCAGTTTTGCCGTGGAATAAAAATTGTGTGTCATATGATATTTTGAATAGGCAAATAGCGTTTGAGATATAGCAACATTAGCAAACAAATACACTGAAATCTTGGTTAGCACACCAACTTTTACCACTTTTAATGCAATATTACTAAACTGTAATACTGCCATATATACTTCATCTCGCGTTTGTTATTTGCGCAACAGCAGTTTTGCCGTGGAATTAAAATTGTGTGTCATATGATATTTTTAATAGGCAAATAGCGTTTGAGATATAGCAACATTAGCAAGCAAATACACCAAAATCTTTGTTAGCACGCCAACTTTTACCACGTTTAATGCAATATTAGTCAACTTATAAGAGAACATGGGACGAATCATGCTGAATTATTCGACTATATAACTCCTAAGACAGACAGATGCAATAATCCTTCATAGGTTTATTACAAATATGTAGACATTTGAGACGCTGTCAATATCTGAAGAAAAGGTATATTAAAGCCTTTAAATAGACGAGTTCGATGCACAATTTCTGGTCTTTTACCATAATTATCCCATGCTGGTTTATTCGCTACATTATAAACCTCCTTCACACAATAGCCCTTCTTTAAAATACCAAACACTTTGAATGCAATTGAGATATGAAATGTCAACAAGAAGCCAATTCAAGATGGCAAATCAGTCAAAAGTGCAAATCAAAACCCATATTTATACGGCGAGTACGCGCAATTTCTGATCGGTTTCGACACCATAGGTTGAAGCCATGAAGATAAACTTTATTTTAAGTTTAGAGATTTCTGGTTTAACAACATCACTGCGTCGCAAATAGCAAATTTATCCTTGCGGAGGGTACTTTGAGGCAAATTTCGTGATTTTACACAAAAACGCAGACAATATAAGAAAATGTGCTAAATTCAAAATCAGTTTTATGGTACTGTGCATTCATATTTTGGGCATCTACAAAGCGCAAAATACTACCCAAGGGACACTACCCCTATTATAATTTTGGAAAAGAGGGGTGACGCAATGTAATAATGGAAACTAAGTCCGAGAAGACGTGCATAATATATTCAAAAAATGTGCGAACTTTCATGATATTTATTTCTCCTGCTAGTAGCTAAATTTTGCTGCTTGAAATACGACACCACTAAATCCCAAGTGGGAGGAAATTGAGCAAATCTGATCATCGTGGTTGTCATTCAAACCTCGATGAATAATATTTTATGAAGTTGAGACAAAGGATTTGTGCACGGTGAGTTTATCATCAAGCAAAGGTCTTCTTTTTTCAATTTCTGGCTTTGAAGTTTGCCAGGATTCCCGACCATCATATCTTGACAGACTATGATCACACTGAAGCCTCTGTGTGATATGTTTTTTAAAATGTTACAGTAAAACCGGATGTTCTCTTGCAAGCAACATTGCAATATGAATAATAATAAAATAATAAAATTTCTATAGCGCATATACATTGCTGTCCTATATTGCAATTTTGATAGGCAGACTATTTGATTGGCTTCCCTCTTTCTTATTGTCCAATCAGAGGCTTTGTTTACAAATCTTTTGTGAGTTTTGACTTGCAATTTGTCGCGGCGGTTGCAAATTGCTCAGAGCTATGTAAAGCTGTCTGTACCAGTGTGGGTAGTACCAATGTTAAATTGCTGTGTTGAGTAGTTATATTACTACCTGAAATAAACAAGCAGAAACTCAACGTTTTGAGCAAGGGCCCTCGTAGTAACTACTAGCTCTTGACGAAGGGCTTTCGCTCCAAATGTTTATTTCAGATAGTAATATAACCACTCAGCATCGTGCTGTGGGACAATATTGCATGCAAGAGAACACCCGGTTTGACTGTAGGAATGAAATTCTTCATTGATATTTTGGAGAGGGTCTCAGAATCTCTAGAACATGCTTAGATGGGTCAGGGCAATGCATATGATATTGCCTGAGGTCTTAGCGTTGTTGAAAAAGCAGGTTGATCAATCGTTCTACCTCTATAACTTACGAAAATCGATCAGCGGGAAAGACAGAGCATCAATTGACCATTCAGGTGTCTTTGACGGTGCACAGCGTAAATGTGTGAAGATACCCAGAAGACATGTTGACATCAATGTGGTTAAACTCATCGACAAAGGTAAAAAACCCATACAAGGTTAACCGATACATGGTTTATATTACAGTGATATGCATATGCATAAAAAATATGCATATAAATGCATGTATTCGATTTCTTCTTTCCTTCGTTTAAATGCGTCAAGCTTTTGTTTTCACAGAATCAGAAATAACGAGTTAATCCGAATTGATAATTTTAGATAATGGATTAATGGACAAAATGAATCCAACTTTATTATATTATTTGACGCTTTCAGCATTTGGTGATGAAACACCAGAGTCAGATGAGGAGGTTGAAGTGCTCGACAGACAAGAAAAAAATGACGAGACATTGGAGCTGCTGCAAAGTCAAGTAGCTACAGAAATTGAACACAACAATATTTTGCGAACAGAAAAGCGACATTTGGAGGAAACCTTGCAGTCTGAATCAGTTAAACGTGCCAAAATGGAAGAGAGAGTTGCTTTGTTGGAACAGGAACTGGCAAAGAAAGAAAGAGTGTGGAAGGTGACAGAATCGGAATTGCAATTTTAATTAATCACTTAATCATACTAATAAAATAACATTTTTCAGTGGATAATGTAATAGTTAAGCTTGTGAAACAGTTCTTTTACCAGAATGTCATCTTTCAGCTAGCAACCGTTCCTATTTTACAATGTTCCACTGTATAATATAATCAACACTATTTTTATATTATGGAATTATAGCACACAAGTCATGTAAGTGATGAATGCTGTGCATATTTTGTTCCATTTGCTTATATTGTTTGTGAAGGTTTATTTGTGGTATTGCAATTCTGCAGTAAAGTATTTTATATTTCCAATGTTCATAGGACTGCTGCAGTATTTCTCAGTATATACTTAGCAATCAATATATATTTAAATTACAGTATTTTAAACATTTTTAACTTGAAAAAACATATAGTCCAGCATGAACTTCTAAACTGTCAAAATTTTTCATCTTTGGCCGCTGTTCATTAAGATTCTATGTTTCGGCAATCAGTTCATTATCTAATCTCTGATAATAGATACAGTTCTTAAGATGTCATGCATATTCTGGTGATGTTCTACAGTATATAATTATGCAACATCATTGCTCTAATTAATTATAAATTAATAAGTATATCAGCATATATGGAATTTTAAACATTAATTGTTAAATACATGTAACTTAAAAATCACAGTCTGGCATGAACTTCTAAGCTGTTAAAATTTTCATCTTTGGGCAGCTGGTTGTTAAGATTTATATCTTTTGGCAATCAGTTCATTAGCTATTCTGTGCTAAATACAGTTCGTAATAGGGCCTATATCAAATTAATCAGCATGACTGAAAAGATGAAACAAAGTTAAATAATATATAACTAACAAAACACAGTCTGGCATGGACTTCTAAGCTGTTAAGATTTTTCATCTTTGGGCAGCTGGTTGTTAAGATTCCTATCTTTCGGCAAACAGTTCATTAGCTATTCTGTGTAAAATATACTTTAATTACATACACGTATATACAGGGTGTATCAAAAAAAGTAAGACAATTTTGAAATTGCTCTCAATTCCACAATTCTGTTCATGAAATGTAATTTTTGCTATATATGGGTTGCTTGAATTCTTAAATTATGTAAAATATAAAAAAATTTGAAAATAGTAAATTTGGCTAACCAGGGGGGTGGTCAACTTTTGCTCCCCTAAAAGTGGCTTCCGCACGGAAATGACAAACGGTATTCTTTATTTGAGTTCATGTATGAAAAGTTCGCTATTTGTTGCATTTATGATAAAATTTCGGCAGGATTTTACCAAGTACAAATCCTCCGAAAAGCCTATGAAAACGTTACATTTTTCTCTGTTGGTGCTGTTCTTGCTTCATTATGAATTCATTTTTACTCCCATGAGAGTTCCATGGAATTTCCATGGAATTTGTGCTTTCGAGTTGTTTGTGCTGAAACGCATTCTCTCGTATAATACCCCGTACACTTTGAAATGGCGATGCCACAATTTACTCCGCAGTAGAGAGCTTTTATGCATGGTATCAGAGTTCCTCCGTAGCAACAACATAAACTTGGTTGGCCAAAGTTTTACGAAAGAATATCCAGATGTACGATGCCCTTCACGTATTCGGACGCACAAATTCCATGGAAATTCCATGGAACTCTCATGGGAATAAAAATGAATTCATAATGAAGCAAGAACAGCACCAACAGAGAAAAATGTAACGTTTCATAGGCTTTTCGGAGGATTTGTACTCGGTAAAATCCTGCCGAAATTTTATCATAATATAAATGCAACAAATAGCGAACTTTTCATACATGAACTCAAATAAAGAATACCGTTTGTCATTTCCGTGCGCAAGCCACTTTTAGGGGAGCAAAAGTTGACCACCCCCTGGATAGCAAAATTTACTATTTTCAAAATTTTTTATATTTTCCATAATTTAAGAACTCAAGCAATCCATATATATCAACAATTACATTTCATTAACAGAATTGTGGAATTGAGAGCAATTTCAAAATTGTCTTACTTTTTT